TTCTAGGATGTCCTTAGGTACTGGGGTCAAACTGAGTGGTTTGTAGTTTCTTGAGTCCTTTTCACTGTCTTTATTGAGCCAATTGATACTGAGACAGTTCTCTGGGATGGTACATAAACATTCAACCAGACTATTGCCTACTCTTTTCTCAGTATCCTCAAATGATAGTCAGCTGGACTTGGGAGCTTTAAGTTCATTCAAATACAATAGGCATTCCTGGGTTTTAATCTATTAGTCTCAATCAGATTTTTTACCATTGCCTGATGGAGCATAGTTCTTTTGGTTGAAGAAGACCAAAATCCAAAAGAACTCAAGTACATCTGCAATTTCTTTGCTACCAAACAGTTCCATAAATGAATTATAAAGCAATAAAAATAATTATTTGCTATTAAACCATTATAACCCAAACTAGCTTACATGAGATGTGACATCTCATCCTGGCAGTAATATAGTCATTTTTTGAACATTTTTGAAGGAGATGCAATCTTATCTTTAGAATGCATACATTCTATTTATTATATTATTATTTTACTATATTTATTATTTATTATATTAGAATACATATTTAGAAGCATTGAGTTGTTAACCTAATCCTGCGTAGCTTTTTCTCCGGTAATATCACACTACTAACTAGAGCATACAAAACATTTGCTAGACCAATACTTGAATACAGCTCATCAGTCTGGAATCCGCATTACATAATAGATATTAATACAGTCGAGAAAGTCCAGAAATATTTCACGAGAAGAGTTCTCCACTTTTCTACTCGTAGCAGAATACCTTATGCCACCAGACTTGAAATTTTAGACCTAGACAACTTAGAACTGCGCCGCCTTCAGTCCAATCTAAGTATAGTACATAAAATTATCTACTGCAATGTCCTTCCTGTCAATGAATACTTCAGTTTCAACCACAACAATACAAGAGCAAACTCTTGATACAAACTCAAGATACAAACTCAAGTTAAACCACACCAAACTTGATTGCAGGAAATACGACTTCAGCAACAGAGTGGTCAACGTCTGGAATACTCTACCTCAGGGGTCTCCAATCTTGGCAATTTTAAGACTTGTGGACTTCAACTCCCAGAGTTCCTCAGCCAGCACAGCTGGCTGAGGAACTCTGGGAGTTGAAGTCCACAAATCTTAAAGTAGCCAAGTTGGAGACCCCTGCTCTACCTGACTCTGTGGTTTCTTCACCAAACCCCAAAAACTTCAACCTTAGACTGTCTACTATTGACCTCACCCCTTTCCTAAGAGGTCTGCATAAGTGCACCAACGTGCCTACCGTCCCTGTCCTATTGTTTCTTTTTTATTCGTATCCATTTCATGTATTCATAATCATGCTTATACTTATACCTGTTATCTAATACTTGCTTGACAAATTTGAAAAAAATTTAAAAAGCCAGTTTCATTGTCATTCTACATTCATACTTCTTGGAAAGTCAGAAAAAAATGGGTTACACATTACCATATTCAGATGGATTTGTAACTGGCTAATAAACCATACTCAATGTGTAGTCTTCAACAGAAATATGGTAAATACATTTGGAGAGAGCTGGGCTGTGGGGTATCATATGGTTCTGTTTTAGGCCCAGTACTCTTTAATATAATATATAGTTTAGATGAGGGAATAAAAGGGAAACTCATCAAATTTGCAGATGACACTAAGCTAGCAGAAGTAGCTTAAGATCCCAAAGGATCTTGACAGATTTGAACACTGGACTAACAAAATAAAATTAATAAAACTAACAAAATAAAATTCAATGTGGATAAAAGTAAAAATTTTACACTTTGGCAACAAAAACCATTTGTACAGATACAGACTGGATAAAACTTGGCTCAATACCAGTAACTGTGAGAGGGATCTTGGAGTTCGAGTGAGTAATCACTTAAATATGAGTCAACAGTGAGCAGGCGGCAGCAGGGGTGGGATTCAAATTTTTAACAACCGGTTCTGTGGGCGTGGATTAGTTGGTGGGCATGGCTTGGTGGTCATGTTACTGGGTGGATGTGGTTTGGTGCTCATGTTATTGGCTGGGCGTGGCCAACTCAATATCACTCACATCGAGGCACGCATCTCCTCGCCTGGCCTCTCATGACTGTGGGGATGCTGCACCAGTAGTAAGTGTGAAAAATGGTCATAAGTCACTTTTTTCAGTGCCATTGTAACTTTGAATGGTCACTCCACACAAGCAAAGTGCCAGCAAAGGAGGAGAAAACAACTCCAGAGAAGTTCCTGAGACAGGAAGTCTATTCCTGCCAAGAATGTAATAAGGGTTAACGGAGAGGCAGGTTAACAACCGGTTCTAGAGAATAGGTGCAAACTGGTAGAATCCCACCCCTGGGCGGCAGTCCTAGGTTGCTTCAATAGAGAGATAGAATCAAGATCATATGAAGTATGAATATCACCTCTAAGATCTCTTCCAACACTGATATTCTATATTCTATTTTTTATTTTAACAGTAGGGGTTTTTAAAATTTATTTTACTAGGTTACAAATACCCCACAACTTTCAACACCTGTAGCTCATCCATCAAAGGATGGATTGTGATTTGGGATATATTTGTGGATTTTTGTTGTTGTTAATTTGCTTTTTTGCTGTTTTTATACTTAATAAAGAAAATTTTAATTGTGTGCTCTTGTTACTAACTGCTGATCTTTGGTTTGTCTATGGATATTCTATATAAAACTCAACAAGACATAACTGAATGAATCTTTGAAAGTTCCCAACAGTATTAACAGAATCCCCCTGATTTCCGATTTAAATATATTGTATATTATTTTTCCCAAAACATGTGCCTTCTCTTACCCACTTACTAATTTCATTATAGAACTATGGAGTCAAATATGAATCCATAAAGTCAAATCTGGTTTCACACAATTCAGATGTAAATATTAATGTCTATAAAATTAGGAAATGGAAGGCCTTTTTTAATATTGCTAATTATCACCAGCAGTCTTCATGCTGGTTGGGGCTCCTAGGAATTGTTCTGCAATGTATGACAGTTTATAGATTCTTCATTTTTAGGGCACTTCTGTTATTGACCTTGCAGCAGGGGTGGGATTCTAATAGTTGGCACCTATTCGCTAGAACCGGTTGTTAACATTCTAAGCAGTTCGGAGAACCAGTTGTTAGAAGAAATTACTGGCCTAATCCTGTAAGGAAGGCAGGAAGGAAACATTCTGGTGTTGCTTACAGAAACTGCCTCTCTGTTAACCCTTATTACATTCTTGGCAGGACTAGACTTCCTGTCTCTGGAACCTCTCTGGAGTTTTCTTTCCTTCCTTTGCTGATACTTTGCTTGTGTGGAGTGAACATTCAAAGTTACAATGGCACTGAAAAAAGTGACTTATGACCATTTTTCACACTTACAACTGTTGCAGCATCCCCAAAGACTTGAGAGGCCAGGCGAGGAGATGCGTGCCTCAATGTGAGTGATGTTGAGTTGGCCATGCCCAGCCAGTCACATGACCACCAAGCCATGCCCACCAAATAAACCATGCCCACAGAACCGGTTGTTAAAAAATTTGAATCCCACCCGACTGGTTGTTATGATTCTGTGCAGTTCGGAGAACCGGCAAAAAGTTCCCCTGGCTGGCCCTGCCCCTCCCCTCCTCACCCGTCAGTCTTTATCGCGCATGCCTCCCCTATGCTCTGTTTTTTCCTTCCTGAGCCCCAGGGAAACCTTCTGGGAGCAAAAACACCCCTCCAGGAGGCTCCCCTACAGCCCAGAAGGCCCAAAAAAGAGGGGGGAGTTGCTGCCAAAAAGAAGAAGCTATGCCCACCCAGTCACGTGGCCACGCCCACCTAGCCATGCCCACAGAACTGGTTGTTACAAAATTTGAATCCCATCCCTGCCTTGCAGGCTTAATTCCTTAGAGCTTCTTCTTGGGAAGAAGAATCTTGGGAATTCTTGGGAGTTTAATGAAAGTCAAATCCTATTTTGCTGGATTACAGCTCCTGGTATTTCCTAAGGGAAAGAAATCACTATCATATCCTTCAAAAAGATCTTGACTATGTATCAGAATGGTCAAACAAATGGCAACTTCAAATCTCAACAAATAAATGCTCTGTCTTACATATTGGCAAAAAAATCAGAAAATAAAATACAAGCTGAATAGTCAAGACCTTGTCGATGATCCAAGCTCTGTAAAGGACCTTGGAATACTCATCTCTAATTATCTAAGTGCTAGAGCCCACTGTAACTACATAGCCAAAAAGGCATTAAGAGTTGTTAACCTAATCCTACGTTGCTTTTTCTTTGGTAATATTACACCTTTAACTCGAGCATACAAAACATATGCTAGACCAATACTCGAATACAGCTCATCAGTCTGGAACACACATTACGTATCTGATATTAGCACAGTTGAGAAAGTCCAGAAATATTTCACAAGAAGAGTTCTCCACTCCTCTACTTGTTGTAGAATACCTTATGCCACCAGACTTGAAATTCTAGACCTAGAAAACCTTGAATTACGCCATCTTCGGTCTGATTTAAGTATGGTATATAAAATCATACATTGCAATGACTTACCTGTCAATGAATATTTCAGCTTCAACCATAACAACACAAGAGCACACAATAGATACAAACTCAAGGTTAACCGCACCAAATTTGATTGCAGGAAATATGACTTCAGCAACAGAGTGGTCAATGTCTGGAATACTCTACCTGACTGTGGTTTCTTCTCCAAACCCCCAAAACTTTAACCTTAGACTGTCTACTATTGACCTCACACCTTTCCTAAGAGGTCTGTAGGGGGCGGGCATAAGTGCACCAACGTGCCTACCGTCCCTGTCCTATTGTTTCTTTTATTTTTCTTATATGTACCCATTTCATGTATTCATAACTATGTATATACTTATACCTATTATTTTGTAAGTGATTGACAAATCAAAATAAAAATATTCCATTGTTCTATGGTGCAGACAGATATTCACTATTCAGGAGATATAAATTAAACTTGGCCTTTAGGTAGTAGAACAATACTCACCAGTGAGGGTAGAGGCATCACACCAATTCTGGAACTGGCTGGAGGTTGAGTCAGTTGTAACTGGCTCTTTGTTGAGAAGAAGTGGGGGATGGCTGTCATTAGAAAGGCTCCTGCCTTCTTCGGCCTCTTCTGGCCCTGCTGCATCCAGTTTGGCAGGCGTCACACGGACAATGCAGTTATCATGCAGAAAATATAGCACTGCAACACCTTGAATGGAGCAGGACTCAAAATATCAGAAGGCAGAATAAGAACTAAAGAATTCTGCTTTAAACAATAAAGCTCCAAAACTTAAAAATTGAGTTCTAGTTGATTCTATGTTACTTGTCCTACTTTATAAGCAAAACCAGCTCTACCACTCTGAATGAAATAGCTGTCTGAGCTGGCAAATCTTAAATGAAAAAGCAGCAAGGAATTATTTGTTATTTTCATGCTGGAGATGGAGAAAAAAAAACTTGTGGGATTGTCTCTACAAATGCCAAGGTTAATCACCAGTCTTATTCAGGCAGTCAGATGACTTTGCAACCACATCTGAGTCCAAAATTTCTATTGTTAAGTGAGACAGTTGTTACAGAATTTTGGCCCATTTTACAATCTTTCCTGCCAGAGTTATTAAGTTGTAACATGTTTGTTAAGTAAATCTGGCTTCCCTATTGACTTTGCGTACCAAAGTCAAACAAGGTGATCACATGACCCCAGGACACTGCAACCATAAAAAAATATGCCAGTTGCCAAGCATCTGAATTTTGTTCATGTAAGCCTGGGGATATAGCATGGTCATAATTACCTGTGCCATATTTTTTCCCATGGTATAAAATCGTAAGAGATTTTAATAAAAATCATAATTCATATTTTAAGAAGTTATGTTACACGTATATTATAAACTACATTTTGCTTATATCCCAAGTTGGAAAAAAATATCAAGAAGAGTTCTTACAAAAGTAATTAAAATTCATGACCACAAGTTTAATAAGGCAAAATGGCTGCCCCCCTTTGGAATATCTTGCCCTTCCCCTGAGTGAGATCTGCTCCCATCCTCCTGATCCTCTATAAGGGCCTGAAGACCTGGTTCTGCCAGTTGACTTGGGACCCTAATGACGGAGTGCCATGCTGGAGGTGGTTAATGGACCAGTAGCAAATCCCACCTCATCTCCTTGCACACCTTGCTCCCTCTCTCCCCATCCTTTTACCATAACTTACAATTGTATTGCTATGTATGTGCATAGCATTTTATTGCTTTCAGCCCTGAAAGCAGTTTCCTTGTGGTGAGATGGATAGAAAATAAATTTAATAAATAATAATAATCAATTTTGATAGGGGCCGGATAGAATTTGTGGTTCTATGCCAGACAAGCAAAATGTCTTCAGCAGGTAGTATCTTTCCAACCCCATTGTCAGTCCACAGCTGGATTCAGATGTTCTAAACATCAAATCCCTTTCTCACCATTTATTTGGAGCTCACTCTCTCAACCCTGATGTCATTTTTTTATATCATTTGAAACATGAAACTGAAAGTGTGGACTCCTCACTCTAGTATCACATGCAACTGAAGTGTGTAAAATGTGTAAAACAACACGTACCAAGCTTACTTGCAACAGCTGGCCACACGGAAGAGATGAACTTTGTTCCCTCGGTCACCAGGTTTCAAGGGTGTGGTGTCAATCTGAATCAAAAGACAGAAAACATTGTCTTCTTTGAAGAACTGCAGCCTGGTACTCTCCATGAAAAATCAGAACCAGCTCCTTGCCTAACCTATGGTCACAAGCCACAGTCATCCCCATCTTCAAAAAGGGAGACCCAAGCCTAGTTGAAAATTACAGGCCAATCTCCTTATGCTGCGTCACCTGTAAAGTCATGGAATCAATTATTAACCAATCCATCATCCTTCACTTAGAGACAAATAACCTACTCTCCAATAAACAATTTGGTTTCAGAAAAAAACTATCCTGTAATCTGCAACTCTTACACTGCAAAAACATATGGACGACACAACTCGACCAGGGCAAAACAATAGACGCAATCTACATAGACTTCTGTAAAGCCTTTGATTCAGTGGTACACGACAAACTACTCCTAAAAATAAAATCCTATGGTATCTCTGGACAACTGAATAACTGGATAGAAGCATTCCTGTCAAACAGACAACAAATGGTCAAAATCGGGAGCGTACTATCAAATCCAGTACCTGTCAATAGTGGTGTTCCCCAAGGCAGTGTTCTAGGACCAACTCTCTTCATACTCTACATAAACGACCTCTGTGATCATATTAAGAGCAATTGCGTTCTCTTCGCTGATGATGTAAAGCTGTTCAATACCACAGACAATACTGCTACCCTACAAAAAGATCTTGACTATGTATCAGAGTGGTCAAATAAATGGCAACTTCAAATCTCAACAAATAAATGCTCTGTCTTACATATTGGCAAAAAAAATCAGAAAATAAAATACAAGCTGAATAGTCAAGATCTTGTTGATGACTCAAGCTCTGTAAAGGACCTTGGAATACTCACTTCTAATGATCTAAGTGCTAGAGCACACTGCAACTACATAGCCAAAAAGGCATTAAGAGTTGTTAACCTAATCCTACGTAGCTTTTTCTCTGGTAATATCACACTACTAACCAGAGCATACAAAACATTTGCTAGACCAATACTCGAATACAGTTCATCAGTCTGGAACCCACACTACGTATCTGATATTAGCACAATTGAGAAAGTCCAGAAATATTTCACAAGAAGAGTTCTCCACTCCTCTACTCGTTGTAGAATACCTTATGCCACCAGACTTGAAATTCTAGAACTTGAAAACCTTGAATTACGCCGTCTTCGGTCTGACTTAAGCATGGTATATAAAATCATACATTGCAATGTCCTACCTGTCAATGAATACTTCAGCTTCAACCATAACAACACAAGAGCACACAATAGATACAAACTCAAAGTAAACCGCACCAAACTTGATTGCAGGAAATACGACTTCAGCAATAGAGTGGTCAATGTCTGGAATACTCTACCCGACTCTGTAGTTTCTTCCCCAAACCCCAAAAACTTTAACCTTAGACTGTCTACTATTGACCTCACCCCTTTCCTAAGAGGTCTGTAGGGGGCGTGTATAAGCGCACCAACGTGCCTACCGGTAGGTCCCTGTCCTATTGTTTCTCTTATTCTTTTATTTTTCTTATATGTACCCATTTCATGTATTCACAACTATGTATACATTTATACTTATTATCTTGTAAACAATTGGCAAATCAAATAAATAAATAAATAAATAAATAAATAAAATGGCCTCACTAAGTCTCTGCCTCCCTCAATTCCATGCAAAGGTTTGGTTGCACAGCTTACCTTAAGTGGAAAAGGACCTACACAGCAGATTTTTCAACTAGCTGTGATTTATCTGAATTCAACTACCACAGGAGAGCTGATTAGAATTAAGGACTAATAAGTGAGGAAAAGGTTGAAACCCATTTCTCCTGCCACAAATGACCCCTTTTCTCCCTCTCTTAAACTTAGCAACTTCTGTTGCAATGCTAATGCCAATGTAAAACACCCTTCTGTGCCTTTCTAACAGTGAGTTATTGAAAGAACTAGGACTCTAGTTGAAAACCAAAATGCCTATATCCCCTTACAATATTTGTTTCAGCAACATCTGATGGAAGCAGTCAATTCCAACTAGTGAGTAAGCATGATAGGGCTGTGGATATTTTGGGATGTTGTGTGTTCTAGTTGTCTTGACTTTTCGGGAACATTTTTTCCTATCTATGGTAAACCACTGCCCTTCTTTTTAGTCTTTTGAAGAGACATTAGAGATGCCAACACCTCTGAGCAAACAGTAGAATGTCTATTAAGGAAGTGGAATTCCTCCATTGTGTAGCATGCAGATTTTAAACAGTTCTTCTGTCTTGCTTCTAAATTACTTAATGGAGAGTTCCTTAGTAAAGGAATTTTGCAAAAGAAGCATGGCTGCTGAAGAACCATCAATTCTCTGATTAAATCAAGCATAGACAACCTTTGAAACCCCTCACTTTGTTTTGTCTTGTAATTTCCCAGAAATGTCACTCTCATCACCACATTCCCCTCTAGGCCAAATATTGTTTTTAAAATATATGTGTTCTCCAAGATACAAAAGACACTGAAATGGCCCTGGGTTAAATAATCAGGTAGAAAGAAACAGTGGGAGAAAAGGAATGGGTTTGGGAGAACTCCTGCCACTCAAAGCAGATGATATTTGGTTGAAGGGCAAATGTTCCTAACCAGCTTCTTTGTCTTTATCCAAACCAAGTCAGAACTTATGCTTGCCATTTCTAACCTTGTGCTGCTGTTAATATCTCTCTTCAGCTCAGCCTTAAGGGGGCTAATCCACCCCCAAAATTCAAGGGATTCTTTATATACAGATAGTACTCAACTTACAACCACAAATGATCCCAACATTTTTGTTGTTAAGACAGATGTTAAGTAACTTTTGTCCAGGGGTGGGTTTCTACCAGTTCGCACCTATTCGCTAGAACCGGTTGTTAACATTCTAAGCAGTTCGGAGAACCGGCTGTTAGAAGAAATTACTGGCCTAATTCTGTAAGGAAGGCAGGAAGGAAACATTCTGGTGTTGCTTACAGAAACTGCCTCTCCGTTAACCCTTATTACATTCTTGGCAGGACTAGACTTCCTGTCTCAGGAACTTCTCTGGAGTTGTTCTTTCCTCCTTTGCTGGTACTTTGCTTGTGTGGAATGACCATTCAAAGTTACAATGGCACTGAAAAAAGTAATTAATGATCATTTTTCACACTTATGACTGTTGCAGCATCCCCACAGTCATGAGAGGCCAGGTGAGGAGATGCGTGCCTTGATGTGAGTGATATTGAGTTGGCCACGCCCAGCCAATAACATGACCACCTAGCCACACCCACCCAGTCACATGACCACCAAGCCATGCCCACCAACTAATCCACACCCACAGAACCGGTTGTTAAAAATGTTGAATCCAACCCCTGTTTTTGTCCCATTTTTTCAACCTTTCCTGCCACAATTGTTAAGTGAATTGCTGCAGCTCTTAATATGGTTGTTAAATGAGTCTGGCTTTCTCATTGACTTTGCTTGTCAGAAGGTGTCAAAAGTTGATCCCATGACCCCAGGACACTGCAGCTGTCATAAATGTGAGTCAGTTGCCAAGGGTCTGAATTTTGATTACATGACCACAGGGATGCTGCAATGGCTGTAAATGTAAAAAACAATCATAAATCATTTTTTTTCAGTGCTGTTATAACTTCAAATTAACTGTTCTAAGTTAAGGAGTACCTCTACAGCTAAAGCAGGAGCATCTCTTGCATAACATGGTTACCAAAAAGAGCTTTTCTGAAAGTGCTTTTGGTTTCAGGCATTAAGAAAAACCTAAGATGGAATGCAATACAGAAATTCTGACGAAGTACAGATACACCTGGCACCAGCTTGTCTAAGGCTCCACAGTTGAGAATCTGAAAACCTCAATGCTCTATAAAAGGAGGCCATCAGCCTTGACCTTTGTTTTGGGACTGCTATCTTTTTCTTTCATGTATATAATTATTGTTCCCTTCATTCCCAATATTCAGGCTTGCAGAGGTCTGGATCTACAGATCCACTAGCCCACTAACAATCTCTTTTCCACCCTCCAAAGCAAAACCTCCACCAAAATGTATAAGCAGTTCCTTTCTGAACTATGGTGTGTTACCTTCCATGCATTTACAAGTTTATATCTGAAAAAAGTGCAATAAAATATTCTGTTTATATCTTGGAAAGTACAAATAGATAACTCCCTGGTAAATACTATTTCAGCAGTAGCACATGACAGAGAGTGTACACGTACGAGGCCACTTCTCTATTTACGAAACCCTTTTGCTATCTCTGTAATTTATATTAGCCTCCATCCAATTTTCCTGCTTCCTGCCAGAAATTCTATTCAGAGTCATTGTGTACAGCATGTGGTATTATCTAATAACCAAGGAACACTATCTCCCACTTGAGTTTCTGGTAGTTTCCACACACAGGTAGTCCTTGACTTATGACCACAATTGAGCCCAAAATTTCTGCTGTTGAGACATTTATTAAGTTAGTTTTTGCTCCATTTTATGACTTTTCTTGCCACAGTTGTTAAGTGAATCACTGCAGTTGATAAGTCAGAAGCTCAGTTGTTAAGTGAATCTGGCTTCCCCACTGAAGTTCACAAAAGGGGATCCCATGACCTTGGGACACAGCAACCATCATAAATATGAACCAGTTGCCAAGCATCTTAACTTTGATCACATGGTCATGGGAATGCAGCAAAGTTCATAACTGAAAAACGATCATAAGTCACATTTTTTTCAGTGCCATTGTAACTTTGAATGGTCACTAAATCGAACTGATTACCTGTATTTTCCTTTTTTTCACTTATAATTGCAGAATCTGGCTTCCTGTTCTATAAATAACAACATTTGGATGCTATAAAATCCATTGTTCCAAAAGGAAGAGTAGCTCTTAAATTCATTTAATAATTGTTTCTCTCTTGCAAGTAGAATTGCAATTAAGTTCCCACACTTTAGAAGGCATTGCGTTTTTTCTGTATATAAATCTGCTTTGCTTCAACCATGTTAGCAGAAAATATGTTTACAGCTACATAAAAATCCCAATCAATTA